TCATTGCACAGTTGGTCTCAGAAGAATCAGAAATCATGTTTTGCTGATGGAAATTTAGCTTACATGATTTTGGCTAATGATAATCATTTGAGGAAGCTGTCACCTTACAAACATGGAAACTCAGCAAGCATATTAACACTGACAGAGGTAGGAACAAGACCTTTTTATTGATGTAGATTTGAAATTTGCCTCTTAGGCTCAAGATAACAATGGAAAATTAATGTTAATACCTATATTTTGGTGGGTTTGCAAGATTCATGGAAATGCTACTGATCTGTACTTTGCAGGAGGATTCAAAGACTATGAAAGTCCACAGTATTGATGTCTTGTATGGTGACCCTCCTATCGCCTTTTGGACAAACCTTCATGATAATACTTTGGTCTCTATGGCCGTCCCAACCAATCATGACCAGGATAATTCACGGACAAGAAGAGAGGCAGCTAAGATTACAGTTGTGGTGGGTGCTGAGGGCTTGTGGTTTTATATTTATGATTACTTTTGCTGCATAAACCATGGAATATATTATTTGTCTAGTTATTTTGGGAGTGTTACCATTTTGATTATGGAATACTTTATTGACATGATTAGTAACAATTATTCCTTTGGTGAGTTACAGTGAAGATGGAAATCAAATGCAGTTATTAATGTTGATGGTATTCTATTATTTATCTAGTTTTAACTGTTCAAGACTGTTACTTACTAGGAACACTTAGATCTTCCATCCATTTCATGATGTCCTGAAAATTAATGCCTATGTTCTTGACAGTTACGTGATCTGAAGAAACCCCGCAGTGTTGCAGTTGACTGGGTGACCCCAATGGTATATGTTGTTGATGCTGGAGACAAGACAATATTAGCAACTACTGTAGATGGATCAAAGGTTGTAACCTTAATAGCTACAAGTTTGGATCAACCCTATGATGTTGTTGTGGATCCACAGTCTGGGTATGGTCATCATGTGTTTCCATCCCTTTAAATCAATGCTATTTCAATTGTACTTAAGATTACAATAAGAACTTTACTTAGTTGACACTTCCACTCCTTTGCAGATAAATGTCATAGAGTAACCAGCAGTAGATGCAACTCCTTTGATTTTTTTTTTTCCAGGCAACTGTTTTGGTCAGATTCTGGATTCAACCCACGCATTGAGGTCGCTGGTATGGACGGAAGAAACAAGAGAGCGCTTGTAGATCGCAATTTGCAGTGGCCTGTTGGACTTGCCATTGACTATCCAGCCCGTAGACTCTACTGGGCAGATATCAAGACTTGTAACATTGAAACTGTGATGCTTGATGGCTCGGATCGGCAGCTAGTTATGCATTTCCCACAGAGTACGAAGAATATTGAATTTCTTATTATATATTGTCATTGGTTCATGTACATGATAATTTTAAAGAAACCTAATATATGCTTTTTTTCTCTATTGTATATTATAAGTATTGTATTATTATTTTCTTGGCTTTAGTTTTTAATTTTAGTGTATGTATACCTGATATACTTTTTTCTCCAGCTAGCATTTTAGGTGTAATGATTAAGAATATTTTTCATACCTTTTTTTACATAGATGAAGGAGTGCCAGGCAACCTCGACATCTTTGAAGATATGATCTATCTCACCACCCACGACACAAATGTTGTTCACCGCCTCAACAAGTTTGGAAACCGCCCACAACACATGTCTTGCATTTCTCAGCATGCAATGGAAGTTTCTGACATTCTGATTGTTCAGGAGCAAAAACAAGACAGATCTTGTAAGTATGTCTTGTATGTGCATACAAAACCATGATATTAAATTTGCCTTTGTATATGATAACCTATATTATGAGATATTTCCTGATAGAATATATTTTCCCGACAGTGTTCAACCCATGTGCAAACAACACATGTCACGCAAATGCCTTGTGCTTCATTTCTGGCCCAAGAAACTATTCCTGCATTTGTCGTGATGGAATGATGGAGAAAATTGTTGATGGTAAGGAATACTTATAAGTATGTGGAAAAAAAGTGTAGATAATTCTTTTCTTGTTTTACATTTTCTCTCTTTTCTTTCTTTCTTTCTGTTGGTATTAGTCACATAATGAAAACTTTGATTTTCAGGTGTCCAACAGTGCCTTCCAAAGTCAGCCAGTCGTAATGGATGCAATCTCTTCTGCAATAGGGGAAAGTGCATTATGACTCCAAAAGGACCACAGTGCCAGTGCCCAGACATGTATTATGGACCTACCTGCAACATGTATCGGTAAGACGAAATAGTGCATATTTACATATGATGATTATAAGAGATAAATGATTACTTAAAAAAGTGGTCTGAGTATACTTAACCAAGAGTAAACTAATTTCTTGGATGCTGAAAGAATTGAGAGATAATGAAACGGGATTATTCCTTTTAGGTGCTCTGGCTACTGCTTGAACAACGGGCACTGTGAGCGGCGTTTACCAACAGAGGGAGGTAATGTGTCTCTAAGCTGTTCGTGTGGGCCAAACTGGACGGGAGAGCGATGTGAAACTCCAGTCAAGACTTGCGTCAATTACTGTGAAAACAATGGTACTTGTCTTATGAGCAAAGACAGTCCATATTGTATCTGCAATATACATTTTGTTGGTAAGTTGAATTGGGCATTTGACCCCAAGCTGCCGGGCATGGCATGTACTTACAAGCCATTGCCCATTGTGTGTGTTGAATTTAGTAATTGTTTTTACATATAGATGGCTCCACAAGTTGTTACCGATGAGCCAATTACGTGGGCTACTTGTCTAACCTGTTTATCCTTTTCCTTGATTTTCGATATTTTGTAATATCTAATATTGGTGTTAGTAATGTCAGTAACAATATAATAATCATAATATTTATAACAAAAATAACAATGTCAGTATTGATAGCATTATTAAAAAAAAGCGTTTTTCCCACTTTTTCAAGGAAAAGTTATGTCACAAGATCTAATTGACTCCTTTGTGGCTAAGCATTGGCAGAGCCATCTATGTGTAGAAACATTTAATCAAGCATTGCCAAAGGGGACGTACCATTTTTCCATCGATATTGGGTTAAGGTTTTCTTCATTAGAAGAGGGATTCCCACCAAAACGAGAAATGACAAGATGATCATATCTTTGTATATGGTAGCTAACAGCCCTTTTTTCACCACATTTTATACTTGTGTAAGAAACCATATTTTTCATTAGCTTTTCTCATAGATTGTGTTACAAGCAAAATGCACCATCATGTTGTTATATTTATTTTACCTGAGACCAGTCCATGAAAATTTATTCTGGATATTTTCTCCCTCCCAAAGGAACACAACAAGAACAAAAAAAATGATAATCCACTTCTATTTTATTTATGTACTGCCCACAACTTAGTATTAAGTTGAATTTTTGAAAAAAACATGTTGCGCTTGGGCACAAAGGCATGTTTAAGTCAAACCATTAGATCAATATCAGCGACATTAGGAGGATATGGTGGGTTGGTAGGTAGATGGTTGGCTGGATGAGCAGGTGAAAGATTGTGTACAAGTGTGTAATGATGATGGAAAATTGTAGTATCAAAAGATAAAAAAAATGTTTTTGGGCGATTTTGTTTAAAACAATGATTTAGACCAATAAAATTTTCTTGCCTCATGCTGTGATCACCACTCACCGTGCTCTACACCAAAACAATAGATCAAATGCTAACAACACCCCATAAACAAACTAACAAACCACAATGCCGCTCTGTTACCGCAAACAAGAAAACAACACTCCATCTCTCACCAACCTAACATTCTGTTTTATCAACTCACAACACTGCAACCGATCAACGGGAGCTCCCAACCCAGGTCACCACCTCCTACAAACACCAGACTCTATGCGGCCCATCACCACTCGCTGGTCTGTCGGTGTCCCCATTTTCTATGCTGCATCCCTCAGCATGTACTCACCGTTTTCTTTAACTCGTAGCCCAACAATTAGAGATTGTAACAAGTCCCCTTCAAAAGCTACAACTTTCCTTTCATTTATACCACAGGCAGGAAGTGTGAATCCCCTTTCAATTGTGGGGGGCTTATTTACCCTGTCATGATAAATGTTTCAGGAGAGAAGGAAAATTTGCTTATATTTATGATTTTAGCTATAGTAACTTTTAGTATTCCTTTCAGTTTTTACAATTATTTTTATCTTTATTGCATTGTTTAAATCCGTGATCTCTTTCAGGGGATCGATGTGAACAGTGCCGCTACATACATTGTGAGAATGGAGCAACGTGTCGACTTAACGGGGCTAATGAGTCACCGGAGACGTTCTGTTCTTGTGCTGAAGGATACCATGGAGAAACCTGTCATTATTCAGTTTGTGACAATTACTGCAAAAATGTAAGCTATGGAGATCCAGGAATATAATTGTAGATGTGGAATATGAGATATTGTTTGATCCAGGTTATCTAACTTTGGTCCAATCATTCTCATTTTCTTTTCTTGGTAGTAAATGATTTCTTTTACTTTCTCTTTTTTCATACAACAGGGAAACTGCAGTATTTATCAGGGTATTCCAAAGTGCCAGTGTGAGGAAGGATGGACAGGCAGGACCTGCGATACTTGCAAAGAGGGTAAGTACAGCAGTGTGCTCTCTCTCTCTCTCTCTCTCTCTCTCTTCTCATCTCTCTCTCTGTCTCTCTCTCATCTCCTCTCTCTCTCTCTCTCTTCTCTTCTCTTCTCTCTCTCTCTTTCTCTCTCTCTCTCTGTCCTCTCTCTCGTCTCTCTCCTCTCGTCCTCTGTCTCTCTCTTCTGTCCTCCCTCTCCTCTCTCTCTCTCTCTCTCTCTCTCTCTCTCTCTCTCTCTCTCTCTCTCTCTCCCCTCCGTCCTTTCCCTCCTTTCTCTCTCTCTCTCTCTCTCTCGTCTCTTTCTCCTCTCTTCTCTCTCTCTTCTTCCCCTTTTCTCTCTCCCGTCGCTCCTCTCTCTCTTTCTCTGTACCTCCTCCTCTCTCTCTCCTCTCTCTCTGTCTCATCTGTCTTTCTGTCTCTGTCTTCTGTCT